AATAGCTGGTTGCTTTGGTTCTGGCTTATAGCTTTTTAATGAAGACTTTTTAAGAATCCCTATGGAAAAAAATACTTCCGGAACCAAGGCTGCTGAAAAAGTGAGGGGAATGTTGCTCTGTATTTCCAGTTTTGCATTCCACAAAAGAAAGAAGTAAGATTTAGAATGTGCTTAAGTGACAATGACAATCTGGATTTGGATAGAATTTAAATTAAATTGTGTCAGTTTTTCATTTAACAGTCCAGATACATTAGGTTTTTCACTTCTGTGTAGTTGGTTCCTTAATTCTATATTTTCAGCTTGGCTTAACAACTGTGTTGGTCATTACAATCATCGTTACTTCTTCTCCTTTTGTCTCTTTCTGACCTTGGGCTGCATGTACTGTAGCATCAGCGGTCGCAATCTCTTTATCGATGCATACAATGCCATAGATGTAAGGCTTTGTTTTTTTAATACATTTGTTGCTTTGTGTTATTGCTTCTCTGTTTAGTGTAACTCGTAATCTTTGTATCATAAAAGTTTGAATCTTTCACCCGCTTAAAGCTTGAAAAACACCTTAGTAGGCATTTTTTCCCCTCCACTTATTCGTATGAATAAGGTGTTTTGTGTCCATTCTAAGATGGTGTTTAACTTCTCTCTTTCTGAATGGTTATGTCTCTCCTTTTCTCTTTCTGTTCTCAAAGTCTGGGGTTGTGGGCATGTCTTAACTGCCAGCTGTCTCTCTGCTATTCTTTAGCATTTCAGGCACATGGAAGCGGAGAAACAGGGTGTTCCGGTGACAGGGATTGGGTTGCTCATAGGCATTGCACCGTCAGAAGGCGTGGCTGGGAAGTTACTTCAGGTGCTTCAAGTCATTGTTCCTGCTGTCAGCTTGGCTTAGAATTCGAATTCGTCCTTTTCTGTATCACGGCTCATTATTTAACACTCTTAAAACAAACAACATGCTATAAAACACCAACAAATTATTTCTGACCTTCCTGATCCCAATTCTAACAGTAAACATTTAAATTGGTATTACTTACTGACTTTGCTTTTGTCACAATTGGATGAGGGAGGACTTACATGTGAACTTAAGAGTCTTTAATCTCTGGATGGTAAGATCTGGTGCACTATATTTTTCATTTGGGGCAATGAATCAAGAAAGTGTACAGTTCTCAGATTTATGCTTATAAGAAGATATTGGGCCTCCAAAACAAATTTGGACACTTAAAAATGCATTAATTTCTTTCCATCTTATGACAAAATATAAAACTGAGTGGCATTTGTAAACGAATGACACTTTTCTGTCATCACAGCAAAAAAATTTTACCCCAAATCTTTGAACGTTAGTGTATATATGCATAAATAATATAGTTGCCTTCTTATAAATATCTATTTATATAATATTTTTAAAAGGTTAATTATTTGTATCTATAATATATAGAATTTTTGCATTCGGTTTTATTAATATAATAATGTATTGAATAATATAAAATATTTTTTCTCTTCTGATGCTTTACGGGATACAGGAGGTTTCGCAACCTCCATACACCAACAAGGACAGGATGTTTCACAAGAGTATTATCTATATGTGGGTCCTCACAAGGTACGTCATTTCGAAAGGCTATTCTTTTACAGCGGGCCCAATACTGGTTTTATTATTTCTATAGACTCACATCTTTTGTTATGTTTGTTGGTTTTTCCATCAGCACAGTGTCAGTCGCCCTGGGAGCTCTCACACTGTGGCATGCTATACTTATCACCCGTGGAGAAACCAGCATTGAACGCCATATAAACAACAAAGAGACCAATCGTTTGGCCAAACGTGGAAAGGTGAGGATGACTTCAGCCCATTCAGAATCAAAGTCTTGACTATTCTGTCTGTTTAAACAACAGGGTGATTGGGATTTAAATGTTCTTATTTGAGATCTCTTATAATTACATCAAATGCTTGTTTTACTTTTAACCTTTTTTCTATTATTAAAGGTCTATCGGAATCCCTTCAGTTACGGTAAACTAAACAACTGGAAGGTGTTCTTTGGTGTAGAAAAGAGAAGGTGAAATTACACATTTTACTTGCTTTTCGTGGTAGTCTGCAGTCTGTTAAGCTATGATTTAATGTAAATTATTATAATTTTCTCCACAGTCATTGGCTGACACGTATTTTCCTCCCCTCTGGACACACTCCATATGGTGATGGACTGACATGGGACATTTACCCTCTTAAAAAAGACATGATGCCAGTCTGAGACAATAAAGACTTTACTGTCTTATTAGTTGACAATGACCAGCATGCTCATCAGGGTGAGTCTCACCCGCTGTGCCAAAGCTGAATGCTGATCCAGGGCCCTGCGAACACGGGTGTCTCCAGAGCCCAGATTTAGACACTGATCTCACTGGATGACTTTTGCTCTTTCTGGCCAAAAGAAAGGGCTGTCCTCCAAAATTACAATGCATTTGGATGTTTTCTATCAATATTTTGTAATGAAATCATGGCAGTTGTCTGTGATATCTATGGAAGATATGTTTGTTGCCATGATGTTCTTAATGTATGATTGTGTAAAAATTGTTTTAACACATTATTTATGTCACTTACAGTATCATTATTTAAATTCCAAACCACATCTTTAAAAAAAACTTGCCTAGGATTTTATTAAATGTAAAATAAATGTTTTTCACTGCATTTCTCGTTTAATTTTTTTTACAGTTTCATCATACAATTGCTTTTATCCTTTTTCTTCTTTTTTTTATATATTTTTTAAACGCATCACTATGCATTCTAAATTACTGCCTTTAGGTGGCAGTGTACTATAATTTAGTATTTCAGAATCTTACTAACTGCTATGTTTTGGAAAACGTAAAATATTGCAATATTTAACTTCATATTGAAAATTCCATTTATATCTAATAGTTTTAAATATTTATTAAACCGTTAATTTATAAATAGAGACATTTGGCATTTTTTGAAGATATTTTTTTCATGAAATATGAGTAAATATGGTTTCATATGATGGCAAATCAACATTTATTTGCATTTAATACCTGATAAGTTTTATACAGTACAGACTCTGACATGGCTATTTTTATCAAACAGCTTGAGTGGTAAATACCAAGTGCTACACATTATCAGCACAAAAGAAACAGTAAATGTTCAAAATGTTTTGTTAATTTAGTAGAGGCAGTCAGGCAGATAAAAACAAAATGTTGGAAATAAAGGAGAATTTGGTGAGCATTAGAGAAACATTAAGCAGATTTACAGAAAATAAACCAAAAATAATTAATTAAAAGGAAACGAGAATTAAGAAAAAAGTGGCTTGGAACCACTACCACAGAATAAGGAAGCAAATTACAACAGCTGCAAAAATCTGGTGATTGTATATGCTTTGGTGTACCTCGAGTTTCTTATCCTGTTTTCTCAAGTGTGCGTGTGTATGAGTGTGTGGGTGAGATGACATATACACTCGCCTAAAGGATTATTAGGAACACCTGTTCAATTTCTAATTAATGTAATTATCTAATCAACCAATTACATGGCAGTTGCTGCAATGCATTTAGGGGTGTGGTCCTGGTCAAGACAATCTCCTGAACTCCAAGCTGAATGTCAGAATGGGAAAGAAAGGTGATTTAAGCAATTTTGAGCGTGGCATGGTTGTTGGTGCCAGACGGGCCAGTCTGAGTATTTCACAATTTGATCAGTTACTGGGATTTTCACGCACAACCATTTCTAGGGTTTACAAAGAATGGTGTGAAAAGGGAAAAACATCCAGTATGCGCCAGTCCTGTGGGTGAAAATGCCTTGTTGATGCTAGAGGTCAGAGGAGAATGGGCCGACTGATTCAAGCTGATAGAAGAGCAACTTTGACTGAAATAACCACTCGTTACAACCGAGGCAGCAAAGCATTTGTGAAGCCACAACACGCACAACCTTGAGGCGGATGGGCTACAACAGCAGAAGACCCCACCGGGTACCACTCATCTCCACTACAAAAAAGAGGCTACAATTTGCAAGAGCTCACCAAAATTGGACAGTTGAAGACTGGAAAAATGTTGCCTGGTCTGATGAGTCTCGATTTCTGTTGAGACATTCAGATGGTATAGAGTCAGAATTTGGTGTAAACAGAATAAGAACATGGATCAATCATGCCTTGTTACCACTGTGCAGGCTGGTGGTGGTGGTGTAATGGTGTGGGGGATGTTTTCTTGGCACACTTTAGGTCCCTTAGTGCCAATTGGGCATCGTTTAAATGCCATGGCCTACCTGAGCATTGTTTCTGACCATCTCTATCCCTTCATGGCCACCTGGCTACTTCCAGCAGGATAATGCACCATGTCACAAAGCTCGAATCATTTCAAATTGGTTTCTTGATCATGACAATGAGTTCACTGTACTAAAATGGCCCCCACAGTCACCAGATCTCACCCTACCCTGTATCCCCTGTAATCTTTGTTCAATAATAAAAAATCAAAAATCGGCGACCCTGCCTGATGTAACCTATATTTCTGCTGTTTCTCCGCAGCACTGCACTTCAAAAGAGTCAGCCAGCCGCGCTCGCGATAATGTGCACGAGCGCCCTCTAGTCACAAATGTACTACGTCACCAATTTCAAGCTCTAAAATGATTTATTCTTCAGGAGCCAACAGGAGTGTGGACTACATAGGGGACGATCTATGCGTTTAACTCAGAGGACAAGTAAATATCAAGTTTAGAATATTAGTTACTCCATTGATTGCGTTTGTGTGATACATTTGTCTTCCTGGTGGAAGGTACTAATCAGATCAGATTAAGTCACAGACACATGTCGACTCAGCGGAAAACAACGGGCTTGTGTGTCTGTCCTCGGACAACAATGCATCTGACAACAGAACATAACAGTAAAATAGATATAAACTTTCTTCTGCTACAACAAAATATAATTTACTGACATCACCAACTAGGGCTTTTTACATTTTGAATCCGAAATGCATTTGCTGCATCCAGGCATTCAAGACTTGGTCCTGCTGTGAGTTTGAGTGATGGGAAGTTGTTTTGGAGTGATACGTCAAAGGTCTCGCCTGTCCTCCAGGAATGCATCCAGATACAGCACCAAACGAGGAGGTAATTGATCTGCCGATGAATTCTGTTTGCAAATAGTGTAATGCATCTGATGTTCCTTGAATGAGAACTTATTTGTCCTACTCTATCAACACCGTCTTTGCAAGCTTATTCTGATATTTTAGAGAATGTATCAATATAAAAAGAAAGTATGGGAAACTTAGGTAAGGGGCTTAAATCTTTTTAGATGCCACAGACATTTAGCATGCGAGAGACCCCCATCCTTAAATTTAAAAGGAATTTGTAGCCTATAGTTTCTTGAACATAGAGCTAAGTAAAGAAATTATATAATTTAAAATATTATCTGAAAAATATTACGTTTCTGTTAAGTTAGCCTACCGTATTACTGTACTGTTAGATTATTAATTCACATATATTTATTTATTTTAATAAATGTTTTATTTATTTTATGTGAATCAAAGTTGTATTCATTTATTTTAATCTTATTTTGTATTGTTTATTTATTTTTTATTTTTTACACTGTTTATCTCTAAACTTTTCCAGAGACCCCTTAGCACTCCCCTGCGGTAGTCTGGAGGTCCCCAGACCCTATTTTGAAAACCCCTACCCCTGTCTTGCACCATTTTTAAAAAGGGCAGTTAATTTTCTTTCTTTCACAAGGGCAGAACTTACACAACCTATTAGTTCCTGTTGGAACTCTAACAACTGTCACTGGTTCCTCAAATAACCCCAACATGAGGGGAAAGATTCGGCATGTGAAACATATATTGAAGTTCCATTCATTTTTCCTTGACAAATTTTTCGATGTACAGTGCTTAGAAGATTGACATATTAGATATACAGTGGTGAGTGAATTGTGGATTTCTTCTCTGCTTAAATTATAAAAATGAATGTTCTTTCTTTTCCTAGAAATCCAATTAAGATTGGGACATCTTAGATAAGACGTATATTTGTGGAATTGCTTGGGTGCACCTGCTCTGGACAATCCCGGGATTTACCGTTTATTTTTGACTCTCTGTCCTGGTCTGAAATAGAGCCGACTGGATTAAGTTTGTTGTGAAAAGTCACTCATACACCTAAACCCAAGCCAGAGATTGTAAAAGCAAGGACTATGTCTTGCTGCTAGAAGCTATCTTGGTGACCGACTCTGATTTATATTTGTACAGTCGGTGTTATTTTTAGTTTCAGAAAACAGGTGATGGGCGTGTACAGTGTGCAAGAAACTGGATTTACTAGCTGGGTGTCAAGAGTTTTGCTGTGAGTGACGTCTTATAGCACCGTGCATGTGGAGTTGATAATCCCTCAAACCCCTGCATGAAGTCATAGGAGCGACTGTCCAGTCAATTTTCACTGATTAAAGGAATAAGTGAGCGGTCAGACCATGGGAGTTGCAAACTCGAGAGACTATCAACCAACGATAACAGTTGTGCTCAAAAGTAAGTAGCTTACAGCACACAATTTAGCTGTTTGTAAGATAAGATGTGATAAGATTGTTTAATGATACTTGAACTATTAGAACTGTTGAAGGTTGTTGACTTAAAGTGCACATTAGCCTACTTGTTGTGTAGTTCAAGACCCTAAATCTAAAGACAATTTTAGCATTTTCTTTGGTAATATTATCTAGTTTGAAACAGTTTTGTCACCTGTTCCCTGGCCTGAGTCATCCTGCCATTGTGAACGGAAGCTAAATTAAATGAACAATTTAATCTCCTGTATTTAGTAATCGAAAAGGATTTGTAAGTCTGCAAGATCCTATGGACAGGCCGCGTTTAGTTTGCTGACTTACAGAGTCAGTCTGATTTGTATGAGTTTGGCACTCCAGCAATACCTTAAATGTTATTAATGTGTTAATACATGTACATGCTGAATTTTACAGTACATCATGGACTTGTTCTGTATAAGCTAAGTTAGCCAACATACATTTTGATGGTCTTTTTTATCATAAGAATGTATACTGACTAGATAAAGTTTAGTTGGCCTACTTATGTCTAAATGGTTCTAAATGTCAAAAAAACATTTATTTTGCCACCCAGTGTTAAAATGGAAATGGTGATTGTTGCAGTGTGTTTGTTTTGTGGCGTTCTAAACTCTCGTCTGGCTAGGAGTGATGCATGATGGGAAAGAGGCTACTAAGTCCTGTTTTGCATCACCCGATTAAGGCTTTAATCTCAGACACTATAAATAATTTGTTTTTCTCCATGTGTACCCACTGCTTTGACTCGAGAGCAGCATGTTTTTATCACGTAGTATGAAGATTCAACGTTTCTTTTGAAATCTTTACTGTGATTCTGTCACGTTTTGTTTGTATACAAATAATTAAGCCACTTGTCTGAGCCAATAGCTTTCTTCCTAAAGGGATTTCCCTTTGGCCCGCATGAGCCCATGTTCTTTAGTTGACATCCAGCTGGGTTGGCTTGCAAGTAGTTATTAAACCGGCATTTATTGTGCAACTTTAATGAGCGATTGACGAACAAGAGTCCTGAGCTTATAAAATTGAATTATCTTTGCTACACGTCAAAGAGAAGCTTCTAGCATGGGAAATCTGTTTAGCCCCCCCTGAATCTCATTTGGGCAAAAGCTGTGATGTTACATGTGTGACATGTATTTGTTGTCCTAGTTCTTTAACAAGAGGTCATGATCCTTTTTGCGAAACAGGATTTTTACAAATGGCATCCGGATATATCGGACTGACCTCTTAATGCATCTTTAAATGATCCGGGTATTGCTTAGGTAACATTTCTATCTTTGTGTCTTTTTCTTCTGTAGGACGCAATGAGCCCCTGAAGAAAGACAAGCCCAAGTGGAAAAGTGACTATCCTATGACGGAGGGCCAGCTGCGCAGTAAAAGAGATGAATTTTGGGACACGGCTCCAGCTTTTGACGGCCGTAAAGAGATCTGGGACGCGCTGAAAGCTGCAGCGGTAGCGATTGACTGTAACGACCATGAACTAGCGCAGGCTATTGTAGATGGAGCCAGCATCTCACTGCCTCATGGTAAATATTTAAACAGCATTTTTAATTCATATGTCATTAGTGAAAATGCTTCTATTTTGCATTTTGTAAATTTAAAAATGCAACTTTTTGTTTACAAAAATATCTCATTATTCATTTTTTGTAAAATAAATTATTACTTTTATCCAGGAAAGACAGAATATTAATAATAATATAATATTCAGAATCAGAATATTAGAATGATTTCTAAATGATCATGTGACACTGAAGACTGCTGAAAATTCATATTTACCAACACAGGAATACATTTTAAAATATTTAAATAAAATTGTAATGTTTCACAATATTACTGTTTTTTGGTCATATAAATTCAGCCTTGCTGAGGATAAGAGACTTCCAAAACACTTTCTTGCCGACCCCAAACTTTTAAACACTGTTGTGTACATATATCTACACATGCCATATATACACATTGATTTGCTCTTTCAGGATCCCTTATGGAATGCTATGATGAACTGGGCAACCGCTATCAGCTCCCTGCGTACTGCTTGGCTCCTCCAGTCAACCTGGTCTCTGAGTGCAACGATCATAATGTGTCTGAACACACTGAGCCACAGGAGAAGAAAGAGAAGGAGTTCCAGTTGAAGGTGCGTCTCTCCACCGGAAAAGATCTTCGCATCAGCGCCACAATGGCCGATTCCATCCGTCAGCTGAAGAAACAGCTTCAAATTCAGGAAGACATTAATACCACCAATCAGCGCTGGTTTTTCTCTGGAAAGCTCCTCACGGATAAAACACGTTTACAGGACACCAAGATCCAGAAGGACTTTGTAATACAGGTCATTGTTAATCAGCCCATTGTTCCCAACTAGAAAGCTCATAAAACTGTAAAGCAGGACTCAATAAACTCACACCTTTACGGATGCTTACAGTATATGTTTCCATATAGCCCACTGATCAGTTTCTTCTTCCAAATATGATGCACAAACATTTCTTATAGAAACTTTGTAAAATTGCAGCATGCTAAAGTGTGTTATACTAAATTACCATAGATACCTTGCCTTCTTGGTTTTAATATCCATATGTTGTGTGGATATTCATTTCCATATTCTATATGGTATCATTTGCCTTGATCTTTGATACAGTCTGCTGTCTTTTGCTGATAAGGCATAGACTATTTTCAAGAGGGTGAATTTACAGTGCAAGGATTTTTCAATCTTATTAAGACACTTTTTAAATGGTTATTTCATCATGATGCCATTTTGATTTTGTTCAATCATTGATTGTTCGGAGGCTTATTAATCTTTCTGTTACATCTGTCTTATCCAAGAAAAGAGATACTTGGTACTGTGTCAGATTTTGCTTTGCCAGTCATAAAATTTGTGTTTATATTCCGAAGCAATTTGTTTGAAGCTATGCTTTTATAGAGGTTTGTAATTTATTTTAGCACAGACAGTTTCATTTTATTATTTCTAATGTAAATGAATTTTAAATGAATAAAAATGACAAGGTTTGTTTATTGTTGCTGAAACAAAGCAGATTTTAAAAACTCTAAATTGTACAATCATTTCATAATGTAATATTATATTGTTTCATTTAGAAACAGAATTGTAGCTAATTGTGTATCTGGAGAAAAAACAATCTCACTGTCAATATTTCACAAGGTTTTACTAAATTATGATTTTTATACTATGGCAAAACTGTCATTTTTGAATTTTCTATTGAAAAAGGTTGGTTGGCTTCATTTACAAATTGGCTTTTGTGGCAAGATGTCAGTCACCACTGAGGATTTATTGTCTGATTTTTTCTCGAATATGAGTGGAATTAAATAGCAATTTCAGAACACGCCAGTCTGTGTATCAGTGCATACCAGTGCATGTTTTTTTATTTTTTAAGTTAACACCATGCATGGATAAACAACCTATAAAAATATATTTCTCACTGACAAAGAATTACTTTTTCCTGTCCTTTAAAGGAATAGTGCACTTAGAAATGAAAATTCTGTTATCATTTAATAAGAATAATAATAATAATTTAATCCTTTATTGTCAGACAAGTCTGAAATTTTACTTGCATAAGAGTGTCTATGTTTACAACAACCAACACACATTAAACATCAACATACACTTAAACCTCCTACATTATACATTCCAGTACTACACTTATACAACTATAACACCTTCACAGTACTCTTGGTTTATGGTTAAGTGTTTTATTCAACTCTAAGATAGCCTGATGCACAAAAGAGTGTTTCAGCCTCACTTTGTTGAATCTTGGAACCTCCGGTTTTATGGTAGTAATTCAAACTCATTATGTAGGACATGATTAGACAACTTTGGTTTTAGCATAACAGACACTCGACACTCTTATATATTGCAGTAAACTCATTATCACCGACCAAAAGAATAACAGAAAACATCTGTTTTCTTATTCCAAATGACCTAAGGTGACAAAGAAAGTAAATTCTCTGTTTTGTTCTTTTACAAAGAGTATCAATATGATCTTTCCAGAATCACATATCATCTATCATCACTCATATCTATGGAAGCATATGGGTAGCAATATTCAATTTGAAATGTAATATGCAAAATGACAATGCAATATGTAAAATGGCATTGCATTCTGTATTTAAATTTACATTTTACATTACCATTCTAGCAACGTTTGGTGCAAAATGAAAAGGCAAATGTAAATTATGTAATTTCATTTTCAATTTCATACACTAGTTTTAATATGCATATTGAAACGCTTTATAAGTTGCAAAATTAAAATGAAAATGCATTACAGAAATGATTAGATATGTGTAGCATGTTCAAGCAAAAACTGTGGCAAAATGATCATTCAAATGTTATTTTTCTTAATTGCATTTACACTCACAGTCAAGACACTTGCGATTGCATTTTCATGAAATGTCCCGCAATGAATGTAGCAAAATTCAATGTGCACATTGAAAATGCATTCCGAGCCGATCACGCCCCCTCCTGCCCTGTCAATCACTGCATCAAGGCGGGGCTTAAGTTGTGTTGTTTCTCTCTATGGAACCAGGTACTTGGAAGCATGACGCCTCCGGATCGAAGTGGTAGGACACGGGGTAAGTTGGCAGAAAGAGAAGAGACAAGGGGTCGGTAGTGTGACCGCAGCCGCAGGTAAAGCCGGGTGTCACCCCATTTTATTTTTTTTATTTTTTTATTTTTGGCCAAAACGAGCACTTTTCGTACATACGCTCTATGGTCACGTAAGAGTGTGATCGTCAAATACACTCCACAGTCCAGACCCCGAGTGAAAGTTGGCAACCCTAGGTCTAACCGTTTGACGACCGTCGACCGACCCCCTTGTCTCTTCTCTTTCTGCCAACTTACCCCGTGTCCCACCACTTCGATCCGGAGGCGTCATGCTTAAGCTGGACGATGGTCTTTCTGAAGGGGCAGCATTTGCACTTTGTCGCTCTATAGCTTGTTTTCATATGACGTCACGCCACTGCGTTGCCATGGCGCGAAATGCAAATGGAGGGCAGGAAGTGATTTGCTGTATTTAGAAAGCACTATAACAAACTCAAAATGCCTATGTTTTGCGTCGTTTATGGTTACTTAAATCGATCAAACCACGAGGAGTTTTTATCGTGTACCAAAAGTTGTTGTTCATAAGGGGGGAAAATGCAAGAAATTGACCGAAAAACTCCGGGAAAACGGCTTGTAAACCTACGTCTGCGGTCGGGAGGAGCCGAATGGGAAAATGCCCGTGTGTGCCGTGATCACTTCATCAAAGGCGATACAACTTAAGGGGCTATGTTTGTGTAAAGTGTAACGTTTCCGAAATTTGTAAAGTCAAAGTATGTCTGTAAGACGAGGTAGTTGCTGATATCTACCGCCTCGATGGCAGGAAAATCTTTCAATTCAGTTGAAAAATTGCTCCTGTTCATAACGCAAGGATCACGTTCAACATTGATTTTTTTGTTTACTTCTTTCTCTTGTAATAGCGTGTAAAGTAGTACAGTACTGACTTTCCTCCATCTCGTCCATTGCGCTCTTCACTCCCTGCCCTCCATCTGAATTTCGCGCGTCATCATAATCACGTGACTGAAACCCAGCTATTGCTTGTGCAGCTTCTCGGAGTTCCATAGAGAGAAACAACACAGCTTAAGCCCCGCCTTGATGCAGTGATTGACAGGGCAGGAGGGGGCGTGATCGGCTCGGAATGCATTTTCAATGTGCACATTGAATTTTGCTACATTCATTTGCGGGACATTTCATTAAAATGCAATCGCAAGTGTCTTGACTGTGAGTGTAAATGCAATTAAGAAAAATAACATTTGAATGATCATTTTGCCACAGTTTTTGCTTGAACATGCTACACATATCTAATCATTTCTGTAATGCATTTTCATTTTAATTTTGCAACTTATAAAGCGTTTCAATATGCATATTAAAACTAGTGTATGAAATTGAAAATGAAATTACATAATTTACATTTGCCTTTTCATTTTGCACCAAACGTTGCTAGAATGGTAATGTAAAATGTAAATTTAAATACAGAATGCAATGCCATTTTACATATTGCATTGTCATTTTGCATATTACATTTCAAATTGAATATTGCTACCCATATGCTTCCATACATATCATCTATCATCACGCAAAAATATTTGTATGTCTTAACCTGTCTGATTTTTTCACCATGAATAGAAACAGGCATTATATGAGTATCAGATGTAGACCCAAATACAATCTCCTCGGTTTTACTCGTATTAATGACAAGAGCATTATTCACGCACCACTCTATCAACTTAGTCACACCCTGTTGATGAAGCCCAGGACTGTCCAAGTCATTCAACACAGTCATTCACTGTCCAAGTCATTCAACCACTTGGACAGTGAATGACTGTGTTGAATGACTTGGACAGTCCTGGGCTTCATCAACAGGGTGTGACTAAGTTGATAGAGTGGTGTTTCTTTCTTCTGCTGAACACAAAGGAACATATTTTGGAGAATGTTGGAACCCAGACAGTTGATCTACCCCATTGACTTCTATAGTAGGAAAAAAATACTATGGAAGTCAATGGGGTATATCAGCTGTTTGGTGAACAGAATAAAGAGATGGTAAAAATTGGACATTTCAGGTTGTCATGAATTTGACAAACAATTCATCTTAAATATTGGTCCACGAGCAGGAATGATAATAAAAACAGTCAGGAAATTCAATAGGAACAGTGGTCTTTAAGGATTTAGAGATATACAATAAACTTAAAAAAAAGAGCCGGAGAAAAGAATCAGTGATGACGAGGTTAAGGTTGTGGGACATTGACATTCTACACTAAATAAAACACTTAAGATGATAGGAAAACACCAGACATGATTGTGTGAGAGATGCCAGGAGTCAGAGCATATATAATCTTGAGTTGTAGATATGAAGCAGAGAGAGATAATGAGGAATAAGCAATGAGTGGGGTGCAGGAGTTCACATTAAAAAGGTTACTGAGTGAGCACGGCATTGTGTGTTTGTGTCCTGGTAAACCCTACATTATTATGGGGACAAAATGTCCCCACAAAGATGGCAACATCCAAAATCCTTGTCCAGCTTATATCATATAGCCTAAGTGATGTTTTTTGAAAATGTGAAAATGCAGAAAGTTTTCTTTGATGGGTAGGTTTAAGGGTAGGGTTAGTGTAAGGGGAGGGGACAGAATATATAGTTTGTGCAGTATAAAAATAATGATGTCTATGGAAAGTCCCCATAAAACATGAAGACAACATGTATGAGTGTGTGTTAGTTGGTAAAGAGAGGTACACTCCGGAGCAGAAGGCAGCGGTAATGCACCAATAAGCTGAATGTCATCCGCAAAGTAAAACAAGAAAGAAGAAGAAGAAGAAAACGCATGATGATGACGCATGTCAAGCGCGACACGCAGACTGGAGAGACCAACGTGCTTGCAGCACTGTAAGGATTTCCACCTGCAAAAATGGTGAAGTCTGGAAAACTTAGATCCGGAGCAGCCCAGAAAGTAAGACGGTGGAAGAAAGGTCACAGTAGTGATAGCAATCCGGAGGCATGTCGCTATCGAGACGCCGCGAAGAGCCGATATTTTAGCCGTCCCTCAGGTGAGACTCTGGCCTGCGTGACAACACGTGGGTAGCTGATCGAACTTTGTAAACAAATTAAAAATCATGCCCGGGTACTTTTAGAGAGAGACGACTAATTTATTTTCGCGTTTATTGTAAAGTACATTAAAGCATATATATTTTAAAATTTCTGACAGTATTAGGACTGCACTTTCTTTTTATTGTATCCATGGCTAGGGTGTCATAATATTGTTTAGATGGTATGATTGATGTAAATGTGAGATTCATCAAACCTCTTTCTATTTAAACAGAAAAAAGTGATCTGACAGTAGATGCTTTGAAACT